GTTGATGTAAATTTCAGTTTCAGGGTTTAGGGCTTGTGGGATTCCAGCAGCCTACTTAGGAAAGTCCCAAACCCTGACCGATCCTGGACCGAGGGTGTCTGTGCACAAACAGTCTATGGCAACTCCTGAAACCCTTGACCTAACTAATTGCTAGTACAACCTTCATCTCGGGATTGATGAGCCATGCATCCTTTCCAAACTTCACTCCCCCTCTCCAAAAAAAGACAGCACGTCACTCCTATACTTCTAGAAATGCTATAATGGGGAGTGCTATAACTTAGCTGCTGAGTTCATAAGCCCCAAAAAGTGTACACTTTCAGTTTTATAGTGGGTAATATTATCCAAAAAAGGGTAAAGTGTATCCACTCAGCTACTAAGATAATGTGAGGGACTGTAATTCAAGGACCCTTCAAACTCTCCTATGTGAACTTGTCCCGAGGTCGGGACCCAGTCTTCGTCTTCCTCTGCATGGGGCGTCAGAGTCATCGGATCACCTCCGTCAAGGCTAACATAGGGGCCTTAACAATTAGAAGAAGGTTCCCTTTAAGGGGTCCTTTGATGGTTCTATAAGGGATCTATAAGAGGGCTCCATCATGTAGGGGGCCTTACTAGTTCGAATAGGGTTTAGGGGTATATTACACTCTAACTGTAACAAGGAACGGCTAGGGCGCCAGAGCTGAAAAGGGTTTGGGGTTTAGGGCTAAACGGTTGAGCTTGAGGACTAGGAATCAGGAAGTATGTGCCTGACAGAATATGAGAGACGCCTTCCGTAAATCATCCAGCTCGAACGAAAATAACAACCAAAAGCCTCACTTTCAAGCACCAAAAACCCAAATCCGAAACCCTGAACCCAAAACGGGACCAAACCTTGCCAGCTCAGCTCCTCAGTTCTAGCATCTGTTTGCATCCGGGGTTTAGGGTCTCGGGTGGCGAAAGCTGTTAGGGTTTATATGGGGTTTAGGGTTTATGGCCTTTAGGGTTTAAGGTTTATATAGGGTTTAGGGTTTAGGGGGAGAACCAGCCGTGACAAAAACAAGGCGGCTCACATCCTCGCGTGACGACCTGCCTGAATGTAAACACATGCCCCCGACCCTATGCGCTGAGTTCTGAGCACACCAGTAGGGTTGAGGGCTTACAGTGGGATTCAGAGTTTAACGTGTGGGGTGTAGGGGTTTGAGGGGTTTTGCTTCCATTTTTCGGGCATACCACTCCATCAAGTAAGCCCTGCTTTTTCAGACCTCTAACAACTCTAAACCCTAAACCATCCTAGACAATAAACCCTAAACCACCCTAAACCACCCTAAACCATCCTAAACCACCCTAAACCATCCTAAACCCTAAACCCTAAAAAAGCACCCCGAATGCCTGCGGCAAGCGACCGGCCTTTGCGAAACCGGAGGTACTCGGGTCCCAGGTCTTCGGCCTGCGATGCTTAAGGGCTGCGACTCTCTAAGAGGATTGAAGATTTTGGGGTTGGGATGTAGAGTTTAAGTTTTGGGATTAGAATTTAGAGTTTTGGGGTTAGGATTTAGAGTTTGGGGGTTAGGATTTAGAGTTGTGGGGTTAGGATTTAGGGTTTTGGGGGTTAGGATTTAGAGTTGTGGGGTTAGGATCTAGGGTTTTGGGGGTTAGGATTTAGAGTTTGGGGGTTAGGATTTAGAGTTGTGGGGTTAGGATTTAGGGTTTTGGGGGTTAGGATTTAGAGTTGTGGGGTTAGGATCTAGGGTTTTGGGGGTTAGGATTTAGAGTTTGGGGGTTAGGATTTAGAGTTGTGGGGTTAGGATTTAGGGTTTTGGGGGTTAGGATTTAGAGTTGTGGGGTTAGGATCTAGGGTTTTGGGGGTTAGGATTTAGAGTTTGGGGGTTAGGATTTAGAGTTGTGGGGTTAGGATTTAGGGTTTTGGGGGTTAGGATTTAGAGTTGTGGGGTTAGGATCTAGGGTTTTGGGGTTAGGATTTAGAGTGTTGGGGTTAGGGCTTTAGTGTGCAAGGGCTTCAGCTCTCTAAGAGGCTTGAAGGGTTTGGGCTTAGGAATTAGAGTTTTCGGGTTTAGGGTCTAGAGGGGTCATGGGCTGTAATGTGTAGGGCTGTAGGATTTGTAGGGTTTAAGGATTATGGTTCAGGGTTTAAGGGTTATGGTGCACTGATTTAGAGTTTGGGCTTCAGGGTCAAAGGCTGCAGCACCCCCATCCCCACTCCCTGAACCCGAAAATTCCCAATCCTACTAACTTCTGAACACTGAACCCCAAAAGCCCTCAATCCTAAATCTCAAAACAGAAACCCCAAACACTATCCTAAATCTCCGGGGTTTAGGGCTGACCCTGTGTGCTGCCTCGTAATTCGCGCGGGCGACCCCTCGCCTGGCCTCGTTTGCTCAGGGGCTTTCTGGACGTAGGGCTTGGGGTTTCAGGTTTTGCAGAATTGGAGTCGTAGCGCGTTGGGGTTCAGGCGTCCAGGGTTTCAGAATTCAATCCTTTTGGGCTAAACCTGAACACTACACCAATCCACGTTTTGGTGCAGTGCTTGGAGGGCGACCAACCCGGCGGAAATCCTAAACCCTTGTTACTGTTACTGTTACTAATTCCAGGACAACCCAGGGAAACCGCCTCCGGAAGCCTTCACATTGGATTTGCCTTTTCCTGACGACCTTACGGGGCTCGTGTTTAAAAGGATTTTATAGCAAGAAACCGACTACGTAGAGGCTACACTAGACGGGGTTCGCTGATGTTCAACTCCTCCTGAAGATAGGCACAGAACATCTCCCGGAGATCCTGTTCTTGCATCACAACAGTCCAAACACCTAATTAGACACCACCCCAATGAGTAACTTTGTCATAGTTGGGTAACACTTTATATTTATATGGGTACTTAAACCCAATATTGTCAGGAATAAAAATGTAGATTTTTAATCCTATCCCAACCATGAACTAAGTAAGATGGAGTTCAGAGCTCCTGCATATCCTCAGCTTCCGACCGACGCAGCCGTCGGGTCGGACGCCCGGCCCTGGTTGCACGTAAAGGATCAGGGGACTTTCTTACGTTTGGTTAGTAGGGAATGGAGGAATGGGGTACAATTATAACTACTGTTACTCCCACTCTTCTACTAACCAAAGGTATTTTTTTCCAAAGAGGTGCATGGGGGTCTAACATTGTAGGGCCTGTCGTGTCTTGCGGGGTCCATGAGTCTGGGGTTTACCTGAAGCATCCGGGGACTCAGTCTCTTTTGAGGTTACTCTAACAGCCTGGAACTCTTTAATTACAGGGGGGTTGGTAACAGCTGGGGCTGAAAGTTGAGATAGTTACCCTTAAATAAGGAAGACCTGCAGGCTCACTGCAGGTCAAGGCTTGTGGGGTATGCATGGTGATTCCGGACCATTGGGAGTCTTTTGGGATGCATGTGGCGTGTGGTGATGTGGGAAAGAGTTCATACTTTTGACAGGATCTCGCAGAAGCTTTCTGGAGAAATCTCAACTCCATCTGATAGCCACGCTTGGGGCATGCAAACTCCTACAAGCACTGTGCCAGGTCTGAATGACAAAAGCAGGGCGCGCAATTCGGATGATTTCGTCCTCATCCCCACATCCTGTACTCAAAACTAGTTTGGGTCTAGGCCGAGGCTTGGCTTCAAGGTTCGAAGGCTTCGGAGCTTGCTTCAAGAATAAGGGCGCCCTTTGAGCCTTTAAACCGGTGGCATGGTTCCGTCGAGCTGGAGGGATCTGAGAACCCGAGACCCCAAATCAGAGAGCCATCCCGAAGCCCTAACCCAACACCCTTCGGCCCTGAAGCCTTCAGCCCTCAGGCCCTCAGCCGCAAGAGATACAAAGACCACATCAAGACTTAAGCCCTATTACTATCCCTCAGTCCTTCTTGGCAGCCTTTCTTTTGGCAGACGTGGGCCTTAGCTGCTTGGCTGGTTTTTTTTTCTGTATTCAGGGCCTAGGGTTTAGGGATTCATGCCGAGGGGACTTCGTGGGGGCCTTGAGCACCAAGTTTCAAGGACACCCGGCAGCACAGGGAGAGGGTGCATTTCCGGCTTTGAGGGTTCTGGATTTCAAGGTTCAGGATTTGTGGTTAAGGCTGCAGGTTTCAGTGTTCAGCTCTCAGCAAAGCTGGTCTTCCCTGTGCCGGCGCGCGGTCTATTGTGTTGTGAGGGATGTCAAGGGTCCGGTGCCGTGTTGGGCTGACGAGGAAGCGGGTCTCTCTCTCAGCCCTTCATGACCGTGAAGGGAAGGACACGACAACCCCACAACCCGAGACATCCCTGAACCAAAGCCCTGATTCAACCCTAAACTGAAACAAGAAGCGACTCCGCAGTTCAAGCCTGAAACCCAAGAATTACCGCGGTTGTATGTTTAGGGGCTTGGACTTCGAGCCTTGGACACTTGTGCACTTGAAAGAGCTGAGGAGAAGGCACTTCGTGGCTCACTGCTGCCTGTGCTGGTGCCTGACAGGCGCTGCAAGCTGGGCAAAGCAATTGAGAAGAAAGCGCTAAAGGGACGGAAAGGAGCGAAAGAGAAGGGAGAGAGAGAGAGAGAGAGAGACAGAGAAGGATGGAGTGGATGGAAGTGTAGAAAGACAGCAACAGTAGAACACAAGGAATCCTAGGTTGGGGTCGAACTGCTGAATTTGCACCCTGTTCCGAATCCCTGGCATCCCCGGCCGTGCGAGCACCCAAAAGTCTGAAGCCCGTATCTTAGGGGCTGAATACCCGAGCCCCAAAAAAGTTAGCCTTGTGAAGTATGGTAGGATTATACAAGCCCTAAAATGTTAAAGGTTACCTACTCAGCTACTCAGGTATCTGCGAGAATTTCGGTGCTCGCTACCCCCAAAGGCGACAGGACCTCTGATTCGATCCCCACCATCCCGGTTTTGGTTTAAGCGCCTGCTCTCTAACCTTCGGTGATGTTGTGGGTCGACTCCTGGAAACTGACACCTGCAAAATCCTATCTTCAATCTTGGAAGCTCGGGAAGCGAATCTTCAAAGACCATGGCTCATCAAGAGTCAGGACTGACTGAATCTGTCGCAGCCAGCTTGGCCCCAAACATGCATCACCTTGGCGCGAGACCACTGCGATGATCCGTACACCTCGCCTTTTGCGTTCTTGCTGAGGTCAGTCGTGTTGAACTCTGCGGCGATCAAGACACAGTTATCTCGGACATAGCCGCAGCTATTGTTAAGCCGTTCTAAAGACATGGCCCAATCAACATGAGGCTGGTCGTACTGTAGCGGAATACCTGAGTAAAAACATCGTCCGCCCTGCTTCAGGAGCATCTGCAGGATATCAGTATACTCAATTTCACTTGTTCGTTGCCTCCTTGAAGAAGAGTTTCGTGCATTGTTTGCGAGGGATTTTGCCTTTCCCCTTAAGGTTCTTATGTAAGAACGATGGTAGTCACCAAACGCTGTTGAAATATTTGGACGACGAGTAGCGCGGCCAACATCTGCTTCAAGCTGTGACAGGCTCACGGCGGTGGTGTCAACACAGCCAACCATGCATACCTTTTCGGAAGACCACTGAGCTGTGCCATGTATGTCTTCTGCTCGCACGCCTTTGCACCTGCTGTAATCAGGCGAGTTGAATTCAGCAGCTACAAGGGCACAGTTGTCCTTCACGTATCCTTCCGAATTGTCTAGCCGCTCTAGGGACATGCGCCAGTGAGAGAAAGGAACCAACATCTCCATCGCTATGCCAGAATATGCGCATCTCCCACCTTGCTTCAACAACATGTTCAGAACGTCCTGCAACTGTAGGTTGTGTGTCAACCCTTTTCGCTTGGCTCTCGCTCTTGCCGAAGTCAACATCTTCAGCACGAAGCCTCGCAACGTGCGGTAGTGATTGGACGCATGCATGCACGAGCAGTCTTTGCAGACCGTTCTCGTTCTGGCGAAGGCCTCCATTTCAAAATATCTGCCACAAGAATTGCATGGCAGCTCACCCATCTGATTTGGCATCCTGCGGGTGTGAACCTTGCCTGACAAGGATGGGCGCTGCCCGGCGATCGAAACCATCTCATCCAGGCATTCCAAGTACTGAGCGGGAGGTCGGCAGGCAGCCAGCTCCTCCGCACTGACCAAAGCCGTCGAATTCAAACGACCAGCAGCTGCGGCATACGGTCCGCGTTGCAAGTAGAAAAGCTTCGCCAGGCTTTCAAGAGATATGCCGGCAGGGCCGCGGGAGCAAGAAGATCTCAGGCATCTGCCGACATGCAGCATGACTCAATTCGGCGCATTCGGTTGAGGATGTGCTCCGACTGTAGTTCTTTACCAATCCCGGCACGGCAAGCTGCTCGGTAGTTGCCAGATGCCGCGAGCTATTTAACTAGGATGCGACGTCGCAAAGCTTTCATGAACAACCACGAACCCTCAAGACCGAAGCGAGAGGTCCCTGCTGCCTACACGCCACGTCTACCACAGGAAGGCGCAATTCGAAGCCAAAGGCCACGGTTGGACAGCGGGAGAGACTGCATCCTGAACAGCAAATCCCAGATAAGTAAAGCAGGATGCCCGACTCGCTAAATATCTAGCAGAGCTTGTGGTTTCGGGCTTTAGGGGTCTCAGATGGTCTCAGGGTCAGGGTGTTTCGCGATTCTCGGTGATAGGGCTGTGGGAGCTTTTCGGGGATGCTTGCCTCTGGTTCGCGGTTCTTCCTGAACCGCGAACCACGAACAGCTCTGAAATACAGGATCAGGGCTTTCTTGGGTCAAATGTCAGCAAGTGGGGCGATCTGCAAGTCATGAGTCCGAAATGCAGCATGCCTCTACACTGAATATCCCAATCACGAACGTGCTCGCCTTGTCTTGCCCGCCTTCGCTGGCCTCTAAGGCGTAAGCACTTCGAGTCAAGGAGTCATGCTTGAGTGAGGTCCTGAGTTTGGGTCTTTGTGCCAAAATTTCCTGTCGACCTCACTCACTGATAAGGCACGATCAGAACTAGTAACTAGCCTGTCTCTGGCTCGCTGAACTTGTTTGTGCTTCGTGCAGTTGAAATCATGAAGATAGGAGTCAAAGGGTCCAAGGTACCTAGTTATTCGAAACCACGGGCACTGCCCTGGTGCATGCAGACTCCTGAAACCTCTAACCAGCGACGGCATACGCTTTACAGCCTAAAGCCTCAGCACACCTCGGCATCTGTTTTGCAACCATGGGATGCTGCTGTCGTGTGTGGGAGCTTCAGAAGTAAGAGGAACCTTTGGGGTAGAAATGCTTAAGGCCTGGATGGTGGACGGCGGGCTTGCTTCTTCTGGATCACTTCCTACTGTAACGAGAACAAGAAACAGCAGTAACGAAACGAAAACATCGAACCTTCGTAGCTAGGCAGGACTTCACGCAGTGCTCACGGGACACGACGATAGAGAGCTTTGAAGGATCTCACCAATCAAAAATGCAAAAAAACCTATGAGGTTTCCAAAACTCGCTACCTGCCACCTGATCAGATCCTAGGTTTGAGTCCGTCCCTTGTTCTTCAGGCTTCGGGGATTCCCGTGTAAGTCCCTAATGGAGGATCATGGGACTTAGTAAGTGGGTTTATAAGCGGGGTTATAAGTCCCCTGAGTGGGGTTATCCTAAGAATAACCTACTTATAACCTTACTTACTAAGTCCCATGAGCCTCCAAGTAACCGAGTCCCCCAATCGCCTCCACTGCTCGGAACAGCCAATCTGCGCCACTGGCAGCAGACGGCTCTAAGCCGGGCGGCGCAGCGTCTAGCTCCTCCGCAGTTCACGTAAACTCCCGGGGGCTGATGGTTTACGGTTTAGGGTTTGGGGGACGCTGCGGCTAGAGACGCTTGTGGATATGTTGCCACAGTGATTTGACTCAAGGTCTGGGGTTTACGGCTTGTGGTTCGGGTTCTTGCCGGTGGAATGCACATCGAAATCGCGAGGTTTGCACTAGGGTAAGGCTGCTGTCTTGCTGGCTTGCTGTTTTGGGTCTTGCTTGGCCTCACGGTTTCGGGATATTGGAACTCTGCCCTGAACCAATCTCTGAGCCAAACACTGAAGCGTGGGCTCTTACGGAACATACGTAAGTTCTTTTCGGGTGACTTCCCTTAAGCCCTATAAACAGCAGACCCCGAAACGCTCGAACCTAAACAGGCCGGTTGTCAAAATTAGGGTCCCTTTTGGGTACCCTAAAGAGGTGCCGTATTATATATTAAGGGCCCAAAAAGGAACCCTAATTTTGACAACCACCCATATGAACAACTTGGCAGGAAACCAAACAAGAGTAGATGGGAGTTTCCGAAAATAGGGGGCCCTAATATGGTACCCTAAATAATAGGATCCTTCTTATAAGGACCCCCAAAATAAGGTACCCCTATTTTCGGAACCCCCCAGATAAACCCATCAACCTGGTCTGGTGCCGGCTGGGCTTCCGCTGCCTCTGACAGAGCGAACAGTTCACTTGGGGTCGCAGGTAACAGAGAGGCTTGTCAGACTTTTCTGGGTTGTAGTTTTGGGGCTCTGAAAAGTATATATGAATAGGTACCTCATATATGAACCATAACGGAAATTAACAAGTTTTCCAAACTGCCACCTAGTTTTACGGGGCCTTCACAGGCTTCGAGGGTTTTATGTTCTACTATTTGTTTAAGAACCCCCCAAAAAATAAAAAATGATAATCCCTATATTATCCCTATAAGGAATACATTTTTTTTTATTTTTTGGGGGTTCTTAAGCAAATAGTAGTGTTGCCTTCTCCAGGCGATTTCGATCGAACTTCAGGGCTCCATAGGGGGTTCCTTTAAAGGGATTTATAAGGGTTTCATAGAAGGCCAAAAGGGGTTCCCTTTAAAGGGCTCCTATAAGGATTACTATAAGGGTACTATAAGGGATCTATAAGGGTACTATAAGGGGTTCTATACGGTTACCCAAAGCTATGGGTAAGCCCTAAACAGGAACCCCAAACCCTGAGCTTCGCAACTGCAACTACCGGGCAAGGATGCTTCTGAAACTTGAGGGATACAACTTCAACATGCAAGCTTCAGCCTTAAGCCCTCAGAACAGCCCGATTTGTGCTTTTAGGGCCTTAATACGCATCCCTTTCTCATGCGAAAGCCACGCACCCAAGGAAGCTCCCTCAACCCTATACCCACAAAGCCACCCTAAACCCTCAACCCTGAACCCCAAACCCTAAACCCAAACCAGAGTCCAATCGCAAATCCCCCAAACCCTTGCGCCAAAGCCCTAAAACCATAAACAACTACCAGTACTATTTTGAGGGGTCCTTGTTATACTTATAGTATAATGGGCATGAGGTCTCGCAGGCCTCGGCTGCTTGGAAGAGCCAATCAGCGCCACCAGCCTCCGGCGTGAGAGGTTCAATATGTGGCTTGATTAGGTACGGCCCCCATACAGTAAGAGCCTATAATAGGGCTAGCATTAAGGTCCTACTATATCTATATGATGAATTTTATTCAACTATGACTGAGTGGGGGCCGTACCCAAGGCGTTGAGGGTTCAGCTTCCGGGCTGAATACCCTAGCCCAAAAACGGCTAACCCTTTCAGCTGTGGTAGGATTCTATCAGCCCCAAAAAAGTTAAAAGGTTACCTACTCAGCTACTAGTAAACCCTAAACCCTAAACCCTAAACCCTATTACTAGTACTAAGTTAGGGTTTGACGTTTATGGATGCGCCCTCGAGGCTAAGCCTAAACCCGGTCAGGATTCAGGGCCTCAGTAGACTGCTAGGTTTCGGATCTGGGAGAAGGCTTGGGGTTATATGGGAGTTTCCCAGAACTAGGGGTACCATTTTTGAGGGGATCCCTATACTAAGGATCCTACTATTTACAGTACCATGTTAGGGTCCCCTATATTCGGAAACTCCCCTTTGACAGTATAGTTGTGCCAAAACGGAATAACACAGCCACTCATCCAGTGCACCCTCTTAGACACAGTACTCTCGATCCCAAGTAAGAATACGAAAAAGGAACATGTGCCCACGATGGCTTTTGCGAACCGGCCCTGAACCCTCAACATTTCTCTCACCAGGCATCCATGCATGTGCGGCACCGGACGAGGTGCCTTAATGGAAGGACCTAGGGACCTAGGCTTGTGAAGTACTGGAGTTCCAGCTGGACCCGTCGTAACCGGCACAGCCGGAGATCCAGAGTCACCGCCTCTGGAAGAGTATAGTCAGAGACTGAGATCAAGCCCCCAAAGGTTTAGGGTTTAGGGTTTAGGGTTGACTTGACGTCTGATCTCTGTGGCCCGCAGTAGGATGTGCGACTGGACCAAGCGTTGAAGCTTGGACAGTGAACTTGCCAATCTTCCTAGGTCGAGTCTGCCCATCACTGTAGGAGATGTGCAGCTGCTCACCGATGGCGGGAGGCTTCTCATCATCCAAGACATCAGAGTCGAGACCTCACGCGAGGACTCAAGCCAAGCTACTACACCGCCGATGCCAACAGTGAGCGCAACGATGATGTCAAGTGTGAAGCGGGCAGCCTTGGTAAACCCAAAATCCTAATCTGGGTTGTGCTTTAAACCCCTTGAAAATTATTTATGAATAGGTTCCCTTTATAAGGAAATAAGGGAAATTAAAAATTTTCCCAAAGCACAACCCAGTAATGTGTGTCATCCAGTGCCTCGCCGATCAGGACTTCGAAACCCGAAACTCTAAGGCCTTAAAGCCCTGCAACCTAAACCCCTTCAAAGTCCTTATGCTTACCCACAGAATCTCAACCATGAGCCCCCAACCGTGAACTCCCAACCCTCAGCAGACCCTCAAACCCTGAGACTCCAAAATGTCGACAACACAGCCCCAGAAGCTGAAGAATTTAGTGTTTAAGCCTTAGGTTTCGTAAGGGCGTAAGGTTGAGGCCTTACTTACTCATCTCAAGAGCCTCTGCCCCGGCGGGCCGCGCAGCTTCCTGCCAGAGAACATTGAGACATCCGCATGCCCTGTGTGTTCCAGACTTTGTTGCACTCAGGTCCCGATACCATGGGTTTCCTTACAACAAGCAACTGCGAACCTGGCAAGGGTCGAGGCTTCATCACTACACCATTCGTCAAGATGCTCTCGCGAAGATATACTCTTTAAGAGGCTTCCAACAGAGTTGGTCGAAGGCCCTCGTGGCAAGCCCAAACAACGAGACGCCAATTCCCAAGAGCTTGGCCCCACTCTTGCCCAAAGCATCCCTAAAAGCAAGGCCCCCCATGCTGCCTCGCCCTGCTGACGTCGGCGGCTCACCCACCGCTTGGCCATGGACGACACTCGT